TGATGCGTTTCAGTGAAGTCACTGGAGGACATTCTAATCAATACTATTACACTTATGTGTTGGAATCTGTAAATAGAGGAGATAATAATTGATTGATCACTACCCTAGTTTAAACAAGCATTAAAGCTCGACACAAAAGTCAATATGTGACTTTTGAATAATGGATACAAAAATAAGAATGAGATGTATTATTAGGCATGGTGGGTGTTTTATAAAGCATCATACTATTCATACCACCTCCACACAAACTACCTCCATCAAAACCGCCTCCACCACCACCATAGCCACAGCCACCACCACCGCCACCGCCACAGCCACCGCCACCGCCACAGCCACAGCCACCGCCACCGCCACCGCCACATGTGATTTGGTAAATGTCAGCCTAAACATCTATTTGCTGCACAATATGAAGTCACGTCTCTCAATATATTCTCTAAGCCCTGTCAACTTCCTATATTGACTCTTGGATCACCATGGTAACAGGGGGAGACAGAGCTCGACCAAATGTACGGAAGAATGCACATCAGAACAAAAGAAAAGTCAAATGAGCCAAGTAAATACAGCATTATCAGATGTAACAATGGAAAGGAAGTGAATAGATGCTCATTGTGAATTCCTTTTGTGAGCCCTGCGTGAATGTTTTGTTCTCATACCAAGGACATAAGCAAGTTTACATAAAAAAAAAAAAAATATAAATATAAAGAAAAATTCCAAGGATTCCGAGGAGGTTGGTGAGTCACAAACATTAACGTTAAAGAAGGGAAAAGTCACATTCACGTGGCTGGTGCTGAGGTCTTCAATCTAACGAGCCTGGAGTATTCCACATAACATGCTTTTGACATCTCACTAATAACTGGCATAAGTGGAATGAATACACCGCAGGCTTTGTCGCTGATAAGAGTAGCATAAGAGCAACAAGAAAGAAGGATACTTTAAATTTACACAATCAGACCTGCTGGTCCCAATCAGCCGTGAAGGCAGCGACGCAGCGGGACACAGGGGCTCTGGTGCATATCAAATGAGAGAAACACAGTTACTCCGTGAAACAGCCAGTAAAATATATGAGGTGGAAAGGAGTGCTGTAAGGGAAGATCATCCATGTGGTTAAGAAGTAAGGACCATTTCAGGCAACATTATATGAACCCCAGTTTGAATGCAGGTCTAATAACCATACTAATCTGACATGGTATACAAGATGTCAAATTCTGACAATCAGAGAGCATACGCCAAAGCAACTTCTACCTTTACTTACTAAATCCTTCTGACTTTACATTTCAAACCTTTATGTATTTTTGTCATCTTGATGTTTGCACCATGACTGACCACCCTGACATGAGTTAGATTTTTTGGTATAGAAAAAAAGTTAATAAAAGGTGTATGTTTTAAATGCACTGTGCGTATCTCTGTCAGCCAACATGTCATATTTGTTTATGAGAAGAATGGTGTTTGTGCAGACCAGATTGGCCATGTTTGCGTCAGAACATAATTTGTATCCTTGCTGTTTCCCCCAAAAATATTTTATACTCGCCGCTTCTGAGAGGGAACGAATTTGTAAATAGGGCGACAGTAGCTCAGTTGGTAGAGCCTTGGCCTTTGAGCCAGAGGGTTGTGGGTTCGAGCCCGACCTTCACCATCGACTCCCGCTGTCTGCTGTCGTTGTGTCCTTGGCAAGACACTTAACCTCTGGGAACACCTGATGCCACAGTGGGGCGGCTGCGGCTGTAAAGTGCCAAACTGCCGTTGTGTCCTTGGGCAAGACACTTCACCCCCATTGCCTAGAATGAGTCTGGTATGTGTGTGAATGGTTGGTGGTGGTCAGAGGGGCCGATGGCACATACTGGTTGCCTCGCTTCTGTCAGTGTGCCCCAGGGCAGCTGTGGCTACAGTAGTAGTTTAGCACCATCATGTTTGGAGTGAAAGAATAATGACATGTGAAGCGTCTTTGAGTGTCTAAAAGAGCGCTGTATAAAACCAATGCATTATTATTATTATTAAATGTTGCAAACATCTCATATCCCATAGACTGTAAATAGATGAAGCTCAATAGGGAAGTGCTCGTGGAACGGGTTTTGCTCCATTTTTTCTCCGGCTCCTATTGACCTACATCACAAAGTAAACTCCTTTAGCACTGCAACCGTTTGTGTCACATTCACTATTTTGGGTTTTAAATATCCATGTTTTAGAGCTCTTTCTGATCCTGGTGTTTATATTTTGTGATATATGTTTTTATCAATGCAAATATGAGCACTAACTACTAACCAATCAGGAGCCTTCTGTTACCGAATCCTGCATGAACCAGGGAGATGTGCGAGAGTGGACAGGCCAGCATGGCTCTTTTTAGGTGCTTGGTAACTCACCCATTGATTGCATATGATTGGCTTCACATTCCCGGTCAAATATAGCGTTAAGTGTCTTGCACAAGGACACAACGACAGCAGACTATCAGTGGGAGTCAGTGGAAAAGGACTCGTGATGGGCTTGAACCCACAATCTCCAGGCTCAAATTACAATGCTCTACCAACTGAGCATTCATATACATATTCTGTAAATTTTGAAAGCTGAACTTGTGGCAACATAAAATTACAGGTATGTGTTCGATGCAGCCAAACTGACGTTAAAACCTAAAATCAAAGTCTGAAATGGCGCCAGTGCACCTGAACACACTGATTTTGTTGTGTATAAACATGCCCTTGTGTCAACTTGAGCTCTGCCAAAACCTCTGCCAAAAGTCCCACTGTTTTATAACATTTACTTTTGCCGCAGCTCTTTCCATTTGTCTGTGGGGGTTTGTCCTTAACGTCCCCAAATCTGTGACCTAATAAAATTCAGACAGTAAAGAGCAGAGTCACAATATTCAAAAGGCACAGCTCTTCGGAGACAAGAGGTCAAAGTCCACATCGGAGCTGTAAAAATCTCTTTGCTTCCGGCTTTTCTTTGTAAATCAGCTCTCTGCAGATATAACCCTCCAGTCTCCTTCACTTTATCGCATTGTCTTCTCCTCCAATAGATCCTTCTTTCTTTTTCTTTAACATTGTTTTATTAGATTTATTGTTTGGAGTTTGCATAATGTACTCACTTTTAATCACTTGTCTTATGGGCTCTCCGTTGTATTTTTTGTTATATCTATATGAATATGATGCAAAAATATGTATTATGCAGGTTCGAAATCAATAGAATAAATAAGGGATTTTTTAATTACATTAGACCTGACAATTTTGTTTCTAATCATCTTTAACATATGACATCTATATTTTTCTTCAGCAGTATCCATATTTTCCTCTTATTCTTTAAAGCTATAAACACTCTGATGGGGTTGTAGTGGTTAGGGATATATTTAAAACGGTGGTGAAAGGCACTTAAGCACGAAAACCAACGAGCCCTGTATAAACTGCAGCTGTGGGCTCTGACACGTCGGCCATGTTTTCTATAAGGTGCAGTTTGTGAACAGGCATCTCCTCGGCCCCTGCGCTCACTGGGGAGTTCCCATAATGAGGTGAGAGCAGCTGGACGGAGGTGTACAGATAAACCTAATACATAATTCCACTGGGCCTTCGTCTGACAGCCTCCACCTCCACTCGGTAATCTCTCTCTCAGACCCTTTGTATAGTCCTGGCTGCTAGTCCGGGTTTAGTCCTGATTCATCCATTTCACCCTGATCCATCCTGGTGCTAGTTTGTAACAGTAAACCTAGAATAGATTATGAGAAAGTCCTGACGTCCGTTTGTACTGTATACCTGTGCCATTAATAATGCATCCAGTTCCTATGGTTTTAGGTTGGATATTGTGAGCACATGTTTTAAATGCTAAACCGTAGAAATAGTGGAATTTAAAAGACTAAATTAGTGATGGACCGATCCAATTCTTTCATGTCTGATACTTTGGCTTTCAGTATCAGCCGACACCCAATATACGAACCAATACTAGTGAAGGGACTGAAAAAAGCCTTTTTAACCAAACCCGTGTGTGTATGTGTGTGTGTGTGTGTGTGCGTGTGTGCGTGCGTGTGTGTGTGTAGGATCCTGCAAAACTGCTGCAGGATGAGATTACATAATAGAAGGAAAAGCCTTTTAAGACTTAGAGACAATCTGCAGCCTTGGCGGTACACAATCTCTCTGACTTATAACTCATACCAATTGTGCTTACTAACAGGTGTTTTATCTTGAACTAACACTGAACAACTTTGTATGACTCAAACTAAGTCAACCTGCTCAGTACATATATAGAAAAGCTCATTCAGGATATCAAATTCACTGATTTCATGTAATCAACAATGTTCCAAGTATGGCACCGATATCTGAAAACAAAATTGTATCAGTGCATCCACAAACCAAATGTAGGTGGAGCTATTTATAGAAAGTATACCACTTCTACATTTCTTCTGCATTGGTTGCTCAATTAATAGTACAACTGTCACATGGACATGGTTCCTTATAAGAAGAATCAAAGTTGACGCATATGGAATGGACTATGGTATGGTTTGTCCTTCTCTAGATCCTTCTCAAAGGGACAAACTGACTATTCATTAATTCCCATTGCATTATAAAACAAGAACGCACGTAGAACACATTAATACGGCAAACCTTTCAAGAAAAATAGCAGCAAAGATTGATGAGTGAAACAAAACACAACCCCAGTTTAGCATTTCAAGACTGGGTTATGCCCTGGCTTTGTCCCATATTTGAATGTTGCTTTAGTCTTGTCTTTCCTTGGCCTGTACTTGAATTCTCCTCTTGTCTTCCTCTCTAATCCCAGTTCCCGATCTCCTCGCACCTTCCCCTACTCCACTTACACGTCCTTATTAACTTCTCCTCTTCTCGTGCTGCAATGGTATCATCCTGTCCCCTGAGTAACCATCTTTTATCACGGCAGCGCTGGCTTCACCTGGCCCTGTCACCTTGTGTGTCTCATCCCTCTGTCGATAACTCTTTCCACAAACCATTTTCCTATACTGGTTCATTTCTTTACCTCAATAGGTTGCTTTTAAGGCCCCGTAGTGTTACCTTTTTCGCAGGTGGCTCCGCTGTAGCTGGGCAGACAAAGGCACACAAAGGAGTTGATCTCGTCGATGCAGGTCCCACCATTCTGGCATGGATTGGACTGGCAGTCGTCGATGTCTGTGGCACAGAAGAAAGAAACACAAATTACAAACAACCAAACGTTCCGACTAAAGGATCTTGGCTTAAAAGATAAGATAAGATAAGATATGCTTTATTTATCTCACAAAGGAGAAATTTACATGTCACATCGGCATGGATAGAACTCTCAAGAGAGAAATATATATATATATATTTTTTAGATGTGTGACCAGTGTTTGTTTGTTTCTTTGTCTGTGAGAAACGTGAAAGGTTTTGGGAGTATATTTTCACATTATCAGGAAACAATGTCCAAGTGATTAAACTTGGTGAGCCAATCACTGTCTGAATGAGTGTATCTTTAAACAAATGGAACTGCACCTCCAGGTGGAGTCTGCGCTCTACAAGTAGTACTTTCTTTCAAAACCTTAATTTAAGTATTTGCCGATACCGATTACAGAGACGAGTACTTTACACATTTTGTTAGATACAGTAATAATTGATCTGGACAAGTATTTCAAAATGATTCATATTTTTTCATACCTTTTATTAAAAATCTATAACAAGCTATATTATACCTGCCATCAGCTCGTTAGTGTGCAAAGCCCTAGAGTTCAAACTTTTGAAGCGATTAGAAAAGTTTTTTAACAAACTATTAATTAAATTGAATTGATTGTACTTCAAAATGTGAGTGGTTTGGGATGCACTGGAGCGTTTGATGCTAATTGTAATGTGTTTTCGGGGGCCGTTGTCAAACGCCGGCTCTATGGAGTTGGAGTATTTGAAAATTGGCATGGAACAAAGTAGATGAAAGAAATAACACAACATTTCTATCCCTTTGTTCATCTCTCACTCTGCTGTTACATTTTTAATGGTGGGAAACAGTGATACATTGCTGTTAATTACATTTACAGATGTTTTTCCCCCCAGTTTTGTTAAGTACCTGGTCCACAGGTCCAGTCATTGATTATTATTGTTTCCTGCTCGTGTGTCGACCTGACTCTCCCTAAAGGCACACCGACATGTGGAGGTGCTGTTATGGCGGCAGCGGCATTCTTTTCGAATCTGAGCGAGTCATTGGTCCTCGCAGTCTTTGTCAAAACAGTGCTCTGATTTGGTCATGAACTTCTCATCATAACAGACAATAGTGCCACACGGTACAGAAAAACACCACACGGATATACACTGTACCACTTTATCATAATTGTAATGTTTTCAGGCAGGTCAGATTCAGGGCCATTCGTTTCACTTTACAACCTGAATGAGCTGTAGACGGCAGAGTGGTGTGCCCTGGCATTAATGTGTCTCCACTTGCCCTCATGAGTTTAACCTCCTTCTTCCTGTCCTGGGCTAGTTTGTTATGTTTCTGAGTCTAGTTATTTTGTTTTTGTTAAAATGATACATTTTTGTCAAACAGCTCCAGCTGTAAAAAGAGGGTTCAAAGGCAATGTGAGTGGTCAGCGGTGTAGAGAAAAACACCCCTGAAGACTTTGGAATCAGATGCAGTGCAATGCTTAGATGAGGGTGCAAATCAAGCAAATTCACAAAATTACTACTCAATCACAGGGGCTGGTGCTCTGGGAATTGGGTGGTGGCTGATTGCCTGTACCCCCCCCCCCCCCCACCCCAACCCAGAAATGGACAAAGGGGAAGAAAATTTACGGATGGATGGATTACTCAATCCCGCAATAGCTATTTCAGTCACACAATTAAGTACATACAGTGGGCCAAAAAAGTATTTTGCCAGTCCAGTTCAAGTTCTCCCACTTAAAAAGATGAGGGAGGCCTGTAATTTTCATCATAGGTATACCTCAACTACGAAAAATTCAGAAAATCACCTGTAACTCCGTCTTTAAGAGGCTCCTCTGTCCTCCACCTGTTAGCTGTATTAATGGCACCTGTTTGAACTTGTTATCTGCATGAAAGACACCTGTCAACCTCAGTCACACTCCAAACTCCACTATGGCCAAGACTAAAGAGCTGTCAAAGGACACCATACCTACTGTGAAGCATTGGGGTGGAAACATCATGCTTTGGGGCTGTTTTTCTGCAAAGGGACCAGGACGACTGATCCGTGTAAAGGAAAGAATGAATGGGGCCACGTATTTTGAGATTTTGAATGAAAACCTCCGTATATCAGCAAGGGCATTGAAGATTAAATGTGGCCGGGTCTTTCAGCATGACAAAGATGCCAAACACACCAACGAACGAGGGGCCTCTGCATGGAGGAATGGGCCATAATACCAGAAACAGTGTGTAATAACCTTGTGAAGACTTACAAACAACGTTTGAGCTCTCTCATGCCAAGGGGTCAATTACAAACTATTAAGATGAACTTTCTTATTGACCAAATACTTATTTTCCGTTATAATTTGCAAACAAATTCTTTAAAAGTCAAACTGTGATTTTCTTTTTCTCATTCTGTCTCTCATAGTTGAGGTAGACCTATGATGAAAATTACAGGCCTCCCTCGTCTTTTTGTGTCAGAACTTGCACAATTGGTGTCAGAACAACTTTTTGGACCCACTGTACTTAGCATTGTGCAAATTGTGTGTAGCATTGTGCAAATCCAGAACAAACATGCACAATAGGATCCTCCAGCAGTGGCACTGACCGCGTCAAACTCAAGTTCTGCAGATGTGTCCCTACTGTACACCAACTCACTGGTTTGTTGCTTTGAATGTTTTAGTCTTTACTGAACCATTTTTTGTCATGACAAATCCAATAAATAATTCCATCATAATTTATCTATTATTATGAGAGTTGTTTGGAGTTTGCTGGAGTTCCTTCACACACAGTAAACAAAGTTGAGAAAAAAGCAGCAGTTTTAATCCAGTAGAGAAGTTCTAAAAGTATTTTCCAGAAAGTTTATGACAAAGTCTTGACAAACAGAAAGCCGTAACACCTGATACCGTTGTCCAACATTCAATATTGTGAGGCTTATGTGCCTAACATTTCCAGAGAAACCCATTACTCTTAACTTGTCAGAGTGATGTGTGTAGCACTCAGAATTAAGTTCAACTGCACATCCATCTTTAAGGGTGCGGGTTGTAAGCTTTTGGGAAAAGGCAAAGAGAAAATACATCAATCTGATTGGTCATTCCTTCACAACAGCAGCTGAAAAAACAACAACTAGTGTTTGATCCAGTAAAGAGAGAAACAGAAACAATTTTCTGTTCACAAAATGCTTGTTTGCAAACAAAATTGACTTCAGACCCAATCAGAATAGCTGCAGCCAAACAAGACTCTCAACCAGCAGTTTCTAATGTAGCCTTCTTTGGGTTCCTCCTGGGAGAATAACACACAACAAAACCTTACAATCTATAAGTACTCACTGACACTGGGATCACTACACAATAAAGAAAATGACTCCAACCAAATGAGCAAAAACAGTACATACAGTAAGTTCAATGTTGACAACTTCAAATGAAATGAAGACTCCATTCACACAAGGGCACACAAGACTGTATAGAGTAAGATCCTTGTACAACAAACACAACAACTGCATTCACCGGTGGCACAACACATTGAATATAACCTTTGAGTTAACGGGCAAATGCTTTAATTGTGAGCGGTACACAGGGAAGTGCCAGTCCTTACACAGAGCAGGGCCAGATGATCCTACAGCTGTCTAAGGAACAAACTCAAAGAGAGCCCAGTGTAATACCAGCTAACATCTGTTCTCATTAGACGCAGCCGCACGAGGCCAAAGAGTCCAGAAGCGGCGTGGCAGGTACACAGACCTGATCCGTCATTAGACTTTTAATACAGACACTGAAGGACTGCAGCCAGCTGACCTCTGATCCCCCTTGCCTCACTCAAATCTGAGCTAATGAGAGCGCAAATACACCGGGAACACAAGCGAAAGGCGATCTAAGAAAGAACTGGGAGAAAGGGAGAGTTTTCCAAGGATTTTGTGTGAGGCAAACTTTTTGACAAGAAAACAAAGCCAACAGACCAAAGAATAAATCGGGCCAAAGTAGACTTTCTATAGGAAGATTGGGCGGATGGTGCGTTTATTATTAGTAATCCTCTACAAATAACTCTACAATTCCAAATAATGAGCATGGAGCAGATTTACAGAAATGAGCATCCCAGTCAAACACTTCAAATGAGCATAAGAATATTGGTTTTTATTTGCTTCACATACTGGGGATACATGCAGCTGTCTTCATTATGTGCACTTAAGCCGAAGCAGTTATGAGAGTGATGAATCAGGACATTTAAGCACATTTATGGACATTGGTCATCCTGCTTCCTATAGACCGATGGATCAAATCTTTCTCTACACATTCACACTTTTGCACCTGGAATAAAGAGTTCTATAAGTGAGGGTGGTCATCTCTTTTTCACATCTGTGTGAAAGAAGCAAAACATTTTGAAGACTATTGAACCAAACTGTTTTGAGAGTGAACAACTAGATTGATTATGCATAGTTTACATCTTTTGTGATTTGAAAGAACCCCTACTCGGTTTTATTAAGATGAATTCATTGTTTGTTTGTTCTCGTTTCTGCGTGCATGCTCAGTTGTTTGTTTTCACGGAGCCTCAGAATCAAGCCTCGATTAGTCCCGAGCGCAGCCATGGAGATCAACATTTGATGAAGGAGGACATTAAGCACATTTATGGACATTTAATAACATTTATTAGCATTTATGGACATTGGTCATCTTGCTTCCTATGGACCGATGGATCAAATCTTTCTCTCCACATGCACACTTTTCCAAACTTTGGAAGAAAGAGTTCTACAAGTGACTATTTGATGCTTTGGGCTGACTGAACATGGTCCTCTCTTTTTCACTTATCTGCGTGAAACTAGTTTGGTTCAAGACTATTGAACCAAACTGTTTTGAGAGTGAACAACTAGATTGATAATGCATAGTTTACATTATTTTGTGATTTTACAGGATCCCTACTCGGTTTTATTAAGACGAATAGATCCTTTATTTGTCCCACATAGGGAAATGCCGGTGTTGCATCACAAGTTACAGAGCAGTAGGAATGAGAAGCACGCAACACAAGATTAAAATTATGCCTTAGTT